TGATAATTAAATTTAAAAATACATTAAAAAAACTCATCATATAACTTGTATAGATATATGATATATCCAACATTGTTTTTATAACTTCATAACCAATATTATTTTATCGAGTAAATTTTATTATTATATTATAAACATTTATTTAACACAAGTTTTTTATGAATATTAAAAATAAAAAATATACTTATTAAAAATTTAACTACTTCATTTTTCGTGTCTTTTATTAAAAACTTAAGTTTTTAAGTTATAACTATTTATTATTATTTAAAGTTAAAAAATTTTAATTTTTTTAAATTAATAAATATTTTTAAAGAAATAATCAAGTTTAAAAAATATATAAATTAAGAAATTTTTTAATAAAATTAATATTGTTAATACACATTTTTATACTTTATAAAAAATCATTGTTATAAATTGAGTAATAAATGTTTTTTAATTAGAATTTCATTGGAAATTATTTACTTGTCAAAATTATACATCTTGATGGATTTTAATGTCTTTAAAGATATGTTTTAAATAAAAATATGAAAATAAATAAATTAGATATGAAAGAAAGATTAAAAAAATAACAATTATAGTGAAGATAGAAAATAAAAACTAGTTATATTACAATCACAAAAAATAAATTCAATTGTTTAACTTTTAAAGTAACAGAACAGATAATAGATCAACTAAAGTAATTTTTTTAATATAAAATTAAAGTATAATAAATTTTTATTTATTTAAAAATAACCACTTTAAAATACCAGTCAACATTCAAATATATTAATACACAAAAATAATATAAGAATCGAACTAATTATAAAAAGCAAACCTAGTTTTTATATTTAAAAACACTAATAATGATTATTATTTTATTTTTATAAATAATAATCAATAATCATAGTAGAAAAATCAAACAAATAAAAAAACAATTAAATTCTGTATTTTCAGAATCTGTTTTTAATCACTAATATTGTAATATAAAAATTATAAATAATAATTAATCAAATTAATTTTTATAAAAAATCGAACTAGTGGAAAAAAGGAGTTAATTTTTATTTTCAAAACTCTTAATTACACACTTAAATTTCAATTGTATAAATAATTTAAGTGTAATCTAATAAAAAATCAAAGTACAAGTGAAAATTTAATTATATTTAAGAGGTGTATTATTTAAGAATAATATTTGTATGAATAAGAATAAACTTATAAAAAATAAAACTTTTTTTCAAAACACAATTCTTAAATATTTTATTTAATAAATCAAACTTACAAAAAAATCTAGATAGTTTATATTAAAAATTAATATTTTAAATGTATAAACATTCAAAATGAACTTAAATTAATAAATAAAATAATTAAGTCAAATAAGAATCGAACCATTATAAAAGTAGTATTGATTTTATTTTTCAGAACCTCTTTTTCATCTTTATTAAATGATAATAAATGAAAATTATAATATTAAATAACAAATTTATTAAAAGTTTAATTTAAAATCAAACTTTCAATAGAAAAACATTCTCATTTTTTATAAAACCAAACTTACTGTTATTATAATAATTATAATATTTTATTTTTAATAAGATTTAACAAGTTAAAAAAAGAAATCGAACTTTAAATAAAAACAATTTTTATTCTTAACGAAAACTGTCTTACTGTATTTATTTTAAATTTAAAACATGTAAATTTCAAAGTAATGAAAAATTAAGCTTATTTAGTGATCATTAATATAAAAACCAAGCTAATAAATTATCAAACAACTAAAAATTTCATCAATTACTTTTTAATTAAATTTTTAAACCCAAATAAATGTACGAAGAGAACAATATCAGATCAATAGATTTATTATCAAATGAAGTAGTAAAAAATAAAGAATACATAGAGAGAGAATTTACAAACTTTATAAATGAATTTAAATACCAAGATATTAGTTACTTTAATCAATTACATATGAACCTAACACAGGATAAAAGAGAGTTAGTTATATTATTAGATCATATAAACATGTATGTACCAGATCTATTTAATGAACTATCTAACAATCCACTTGAGATAACAGAAGTATTTGAAGATTGTTTAGCTGAGATGAGTAAAGAAAGTGGAGGATTTACAATTCATTATAAAAGCACACAGAACATTGTTAAGATAAGAGATATAAATTCATCATTAGCTAACAGACTAATAAAGATACAAGGAATAGTAATCAGTGCATCAAGTGTAGAAACAAAACCAAAGAATCTATATTTACAGTGTAGAACATGTTCAAATGTAAAACTAACTAAAAGTTTTATTCCTAGAAATTGTGATAATACAGGATGCCCATTAGATCCATTTTTAGTGATTTCAAGTAAGTGTGATAATGTGGATTCACAGTATATAAAGTTGCAAGAATTCTTTGAAGATGTTCCAGTAGGAGAGACACCAAGACATTTCTCAGTACTGCTGGAGAAAAGTTTAGTTAATAAAGTAGCTCCTGGTAATAGAGTTAACATACTAGGAGTGTACAGTATTAGAAATCAATCAAATAAGAACTACTCTTATATAAAGGCAATTGGTATAGAAAATGATAGTAAGTCAAGAAAGACAACATTCACAGGAGATGAAGAAATATTATTTAGAGAGTTATCAAGAAATAATATTTATGAGAAGATAAAGAGAAGTATAGCACCAGGTATTTATGGAAGAGATGATGTTAAGGCAGCAATAGCATGTTTATTATTTGGAGGTACCAGAAGAATTAAAGATGATGGAATAACTTTGAGAGGTGATATCAATATTTTGATAATTGGAGATCCTGGAATGGGTAAATCACAAATATTAAAGTATGTTGAGATGGTATCACCAATATCAGTGTTTACTTCAGGAAAAGGTTCATCAGCTGCAGGATTAACAGCATCAGTAGTAAAGAACAAAGACAATGAATTTTACTTAGAGGGTGGAGCATTAGTATTAGCAGATCAAGGGGTGTGTTGTATTGATGAATTTGATAAAATGAATTTATATGATCAGGTAGCAATTCATGAGGCAATGGAACAACAAACAATTTCAATAGCTAAAGCTGGTATAACAACAGTTTTAAATACCAGGACATCAATATTAGCAGCTGCTAATCCATCATTTGGCAGATATGATGATTATAAAGGATTGTCTGAGAATGTTGATTTTAGTTCAACTATTCTATCTAGATTTGATTGTGTTTTTATATTAAAAGATAAAAGTGATAAAAATGATAAAACATTAGCAGAACATGTTTTAGATTTAAACATCAATTCTAATAAAAAATTAAAAGATGATAATATTATAGATATTGACACTTTGAGAAATTATATTGAATATGCTAAATCAAGATGTAGACCAACACTTAGTGAGAGTGCTTTACAGAAGTTAAGTGCTTTTTATGTATCAGTAAGAGAACAAGTTACTACTTATGAAAGTGATGCTAATTCTAGGAATGTTGTTCCTATAACAATTAGACAGTTGGAAGCTTTAATTAGAATTTCTGAATCTCTGGCTAAAATGGAATTACAAAATATTGTTACAGTCACTCATGTTGAGGAGGCTATCAGAATATTTCAATCATCTACTATTAACGCTGTTTCTCAGGGTCATTTTATTGAAGGAATGTATAGGCCTGATTTTTATAGTAAAATTAAGAACACAATCATTAAAATTAAGGAAGTGATGCCTATTAACGTGGGTAAAACTTTTGGTGAAGTTGTTGATTTGTTGAAAGAAAAGGATGAGTTTTTAATTAAGAAATCTATTGACTTTTTAATCAAAAATAATAAGATTATTTCTAAAGATCATGGAAAATTATTAATTAGAACTCCTTAAATAAAAATTTTTATTTTTAAATTAATTGATTTAATGTTTTAAGTAAAACAATTTATTAATTTAAAGCTAATTTTTTTTGTTAATATTTATAAAAATTCATACTTTTTTAAGTATGTTTTTAAATTTTTTAAAATCTTTTGGTAGCATTTCGATTAAAATTTTTTATTTATAATTTTTGAAGATTAGAAAATATTTATTTAATAACCTTTAAAGGGTTAGGGGTTGTTAAATAAATTAAAAAAAGAATCTGTTACAACCTCTAAATTTACAATGTCTCTTAATTATAAGTTTCAAACAACTACTTTCCTCTAAAGAAGTCAAAAAAGAATCTTCTACCCCTTATATTTCTAATAGTTTTTCATAAATCATAATGTGTTTATTATTTTAAATTTTTAAAAAAATTTTTTATATAATTTGAAGCTTCAATCTAAACAATAACATTTTTTTATTATAAACATTTTCTCTATAAAATTTAAAATAGAAATAATTTATCTTTCATTTTATTAGTATATTAACTGAATTTTTAGTTGTTAGTAGCTTAACTTAAAATAGTAAATAAGACAGTTTTGTATTTTAAATTAATTAACTTTTTTCTAATCATTAATTAAACATTTAAAAATTCTATAAATTTTATACTTATTTTTGATAAAAAATTTTTAATTCATTTTTTACCCCTTAAAAGAGACATGGGAGATATAGACAAAGATCATATAGAATATAAATTTATTGAAAGAAGTTATTTTGATGAACCATGTGATAATAGTTTGAATGTTAATGGATTGAAGAAACCAATTTTAAAACAAATGAAATTTTGGTTGTTTTTAATTGGTTTAATTATGATTTTTATAACAAGTTATGCATTTTATGACTTTTATAAGAAAAATTATAAAAATAGCGAAATTATAAAAAACAATCAACTCGAACAAAAAGATGTACCTGTTACTTATACAGAATTTTCTAAAGATTTAATGAAATTTTTAAAGGATAAATGGAATATAACCACACCATTTATTCTTTTTAAAGGTAATAAGTGTAAAGAATGTCATAATAATATTGTAAAAAGATTTAGAGATTTGCAAATAAGTAACACAGATGAAAATCATTAAAAAGCTTCTTCTATACAACCTAAAGACTTTTATGTTTTATCAATACCAAATGATTCATTAGATGTTTTTTTAACAAGTAAAAAATATAAAATCAAATTTATAGATGATGTTTTTATATTTTTTATTGGAGAAGTTCTTATTGATGGTTCTAGGAGCTATAAAAATGACAATAATTTAGAACTTGAAGTAGATGTGATAAATATAATTATAGATTATATCAGAATAGCCTATGAAAAACGTAAAAACAGTAATTAAATAAATCGCAATTCTAAATTCTTATATTTTAAAGTATAATTACAGTATTAAGTAAAAAAGTAAGAAAACTCACAAAATTACTTACAAAACAACGCACATGTTTTGAATAAAATGTTTTTCATTCACAATACATATAATATGTTAATCTAAAATATTTATATTTTTGTGTTAATTAAGTAAGTTTAGGAAATTTTTATAAAAATAAGATCATAATAAATTTAATAGTTTATGATTTTGTCTTTTACTTCAAAATCTCTTTGTTTCATTTTAAAGTAATTTTAACATATTTAGATATTAGAAGTTGAGGTTTCGAATACCACTCACCATTAATTTTCTCTCTTAATTTATTTTGTGACCTGCTGATTTTTACTAATTTAACCTTAATATAAATTCATCAAGACCCAATTTATATGAAAAACACAATATATTCTGTATTTGAATCTGCTTAAAAGATGCTGATGTTATGGTTAATTCCACTTCAACAAATCTACTAACACTTTTTGATAAAATACAGCCTGAAATGAAGGTATCCACTCTTATATTTTACCAAAGCAACAGTGTTTTCAAGTTTTTACATTTTAACTGGTAAAAAATAAACATATTGGATTATATTACTAGTAAAGAAGTTAAATTTATACTCATCTAAAAAATAATAGTATCCTGTGTTTCATTTGAACTACATAAAAAAATTTTAAAATGAATTAAATCTAATTATTATCTTTTGTAGTCTCAATAGTAGATTTTAGCAGGTTTTTTTAGTTATTAAATCAAAATTTTGTGGATTTCTTTCTAAGTTGAACCTAAAAATTTCAATATTGAAGTTATTACAAAATATTCTTATAATATCTATTAAACATAATAAATAATTTTTATAGTAAATCTTGAATAATTCACATTTAAAATCAAAATAAAGCTTTTTTTGATTTATACTTACGTGTGATTTAAATATTTTTATTTATTTTAAAATAACATTTAATACGACTCTCTTACTTAAACCCTTTTTAACTGCAATCATTTTTATTATTATTTCTTTTTTAAAGTTCATTCTTTATTAGTACTAATAACACATATGATAGTTCCCTAGACATTTACATTAAAAACAGTTTAAATATAAAAAATTTAGTGAAATTTTATTATAGTCTTGTTTTTTTGTATATATTTTTATCAAAAAATTTCTTAACTGATTCAAAAACACAAAAATATAAAATATCTTTATTTTATATTAATATATATTGTGAAAGTAA